AGGCTTAAGAATCGTGACTAATTGCAGCATCTACCTAGAACCTGCAGCGTTCATTTGAAGTACATTTACAAATGTTGGCAAATTGCTAAATTCAAATCTTTTACTTATAAATATATTCTCATTTTTGAGTTTGTGTGCGTTCTTGATTCGTTGTTTTTGCTCAGTGCCATTAGAAACGCAAATTAGTTAAGCGCGTCGGTACACAATAAGTGATCATTGCTTTTTGCGCCTTTATTGCAGTTCTGCTCAACGCCACAACAAGAAGCCCAAAATTCATCTATGCTTTCCGATCCAAAATTGAAAACAGTTTAAAAATCAATTATAACAACCAATATTTCCAGAATGCTTGATTTAATTGAAGTTGCCCTGCAGAGGTGATACAATATCTATTACAAAATTTGTGCTATATTACGCGAGCTGCGGCGTTAACTGGTTCCCAACGATGATCATTCATAAATGACCCCTGACCCGCAGGTTCGAGTGGCACAAACTAAACTTAGTGTCTGGAATGAATTTGCGAATAGGTACTGTAAATTATGACCAGGGCAAGACTTTCATTAACACAATAACGTAGCTGCTGGATGCTGCGAAGACACGCAAGCTTCGTTATGTAAAATTTCTGACTCGCATATTCAGTTGTTTTAGCTCCTGGCATGCTGTGTATTAATTAATTTAACGACATTCCATCCAAAAGTTTACTTTGAATTAATGACTTTCAGCAGCGTTAAATCGAGCAACCATTGAACTAATACCTAAGTCCAGAAATTTTCAGTATAATGAACGCAAGAGTCTCTCAGGAGCTATATAGTTGAAAAAAGTAGTATCAGAACAAAATGTAGTAAAGTCTGGATTTAGCTGCATTAAATAGAATCATGAGTTAGTTGTGTGGTTTCCAGATGTCACAACAGCTGTGAATCACACAACCAACTGCAGAAGCCAATCCGGACGACCCTGAAGAAGACTCGTGAGAAACCAGCCGAAATATCGGTGCTGATTAATCACCTGATTGACCAATTTATTGTAATTGCTTTTGTGTAAATAAAGCGTTTTCATGAATGTCTCAATAATTGTGTTGCTGTATATACACAGATGGTAAATGAGTTCCATTCTGTGGAAAGGAAACAGGAGACTATATGCCATGCTCACCACATGACTGTAGACCCTGCCTTTAAAAGTAAGTCACTCTTGACTAATGAGTAGTCACTCTTGACTAATGTCACTCGCACAGCACCATCCATTTCATGAAAAGAACGGCTCCAAAATGGCCAAGTTATGAAGATGAAGAGGAAGTCTAACATTCCTACGTTAACAAACTTTCCTTTTCCTTTTTTATATATGCGACTACTGAAAACAGAAGGAAGCATTTTCCTGCATATCATTAATAAATATTGATTTCTGATCATTTAGATGACTTTTGTTGTCATGCTAAACGCTAGAACAGTGTCCTTTGAAACTGGCACTTTAAGGTTTTTCGTTCGAAAACAGCAGAAAGGTGCAGATATTCCTTTGGAGAATCGCGAATGAGAGAACAACTCCGCAGTAAAAATCCAAAGCAACGACTTCGAGGAAGACAGTACCAATGATGGAAAACGTTCACGTATGAAAAATTCATGTTTTATGGAACCAAGTTTGCTTGTAAAGTGAAGGAACGAGTGAATTTCATTACTGGAGTGGTAATAGTGGCTGATCGAACAAATGTCGCAGAGCCCAGGCAAATAGAAGCAAGAGACAGTGCAGTGCTCTGTGAAATCTGGTCCTGGATGTGTCATTCTTTACATTACATACTTAGACGCACAAACAGCTCATCATATGTATGTTTGAGGAGTCACGCTTTATTGTTTATGACAGAAACGTCACATAATCCAGAAAGTTAGATTGCTATATACTGTGGGGCGATGGTGCAATAATCAAAGTACTCAAAGCTACGTCATGACCGAAGTACGACGGAATCTGGCCTTCGAAACTAACTAACCCTGGGAAATGACTGAGGAACCGTCCTAATTTAACTCGAATGAGATATAACCTCATAATGTGCAGGACACTTCATGGAAAAACGATTTCAGCTCGATTAAGCTGTCATGACATCTCTTGAATCTGAATGAAATAAATCTCTCCTTTTAGGCTTTCGTGCCCCGTCTATGTGAAGAATATGCCAATGCTGGAATGTGATTCCAAATTATGATACGAATAAAAAGTAATTTGTGCTGTAGTGGATGAGAAATGAACAACGAGCAAATGTAAGTGCTTGCGTGCAAGCGAAAGAGATGTGCACTGAAAAACCAATTTACCGTCGTTAGTCGAGGCGTTGCATCATGGCCATAAATAAAAGTGTTAGACTCATTTTGCTTAGTGCTTACTGCCTCTGAGTAAGCGTTAAGAAATTCAAACGATGTTGTTGTTTGCCGTTCTCGCGAATGCTCACTCCGTCACAGGTTATGCTTCAATTGGCAAAGAGTTTCCATGAACGCCGTTGACACTCTCAGCTGATTATTGTCCACTTTGTTCTCTGAATGTTTTCTGAATGCTCATCTTCCAAATTCCATCGGCTCAAAGTTTGAACAAAACAATGTGACAGTTGGAAACAGCTCTGAATAGATGGAACGAACGTCCCAACCATGTAAAGAGCAAAAAACTTGTTCGAGCAGTCCATGAATCAACGAGCGACTACTCGCAGCATGCAGCCAACACGAAGACCTCCGAGGATCAACTTAATCCGCTCTTAAATGCTGTCATCAATCTGGGCGATAAAACCCCCGTCTTCTATTGGCAGTTCGATTGAAAGGAAGGAAGCGAGCGAAAGCTACGTGCAAATGAGCAACAGCTCACTTTCCGTTAATTAAAGTTACTTCGTACCTTGGTCCTGACCAGCCATGAAGACATGTTTTTGCTGTCCAGAACTTCGACGATCTGACCCTCGTCCAGTGGCAGACCATCCTTGTCGCTGTCGTCCGGTTTATAATCCTTAATTGCGATGTAAACCGGCAGACTGCGACTGTCCGTGCCCTTAAAAGAATCGGAAGAAGGTGTGTATCATCGACCAGCAATGGTACACGCGCTACTTACCGAAACTACCTCCTTGGACATGCTGGACACGCCCTTTGAATTACTGTACTCGCTGGTCATCTCCCTGTGGTAGGAGGATCGTTTCTGGTGCGAGGCGTACGACATCTCGCTCGATGTCGTCAGGCGTTTATACGTACTGTATTTGCTGGCGTACGTGTTGGTGCCCATAGTTCCTTGTTTTCAGGCGCGGCTGGCCAGAGGTTAGGTCCAGGCTGGTTCCCTGACTGGCTGGAAAGCAAGAAGCAAACAGATGTGATGTGATGTTCGAAGTCGCCTCAGTCGCGCGATCAGCGTCGTCGTAGTGGTCGTCGTCTCACGTTCGGTGAGGCTCTAAAAATAGAGGTTCGAGCGTCCGCACCTCGTTCCTGCTGACTGCACGCGAATGGCGTCTGCAATGCGATTGCCGCTTCCTTCAAGACGCGCCGCCCCGTCACGTTGTTTGTGTACTCCTTCTTCCTCCTTCCTGTTCACTCGCTCGTTCGCTTGCTATTCCCTCACTCGCTGCGTCACTCAGATCTCACTGGCCAACGTAGCTTCTCGCCAGCTCCTGGCTGTCGCTGCCAGCAAAAACAAAGCCAGCGCTGCTGCTTGCTTCGTTGAACTCGCATCTCCTCTTACCTCGTCGCTGGCCTGTTCCGCGAAGGCGCGGCTGTCATCGAGCGAGCGAGCGAGCGAGCGAACAAGAAGAAGAAGAAAGGACCCAATTGCGCTAGCAGCGCGCCACAAACTCGTCCCATCCTATTCCACACAGCCAGGCGAGCTGGCATAGGCGATTTATAGTTCCCTCTGTGAACGCGCTCCTCTAACTCTCTGCCGCTGCAGCCGAGGGCGGACGATATTTTTGGACAGAGCTTCTGACGGCATCGGCCGACGCCGACGATGCGGTGAGTTGTTGCCTAAGATCGCCTAGAGCCGGCGGCGACCAGCGCGAAGACGATCGACAGGACCTGCAGCAAACAACCAGCTGCGGAAGAGTGTAGCACGTCTGATAGGCACTTAGGAAACCCATGAAATCGCACTTAGAATCACCACCTCAAACTCGCTGGGCCTTTCCTCAAGCACCTCTCAGGCCGTGTGCTCAGGCGCGTGATTTTGCGTATCGCGAACAGCAATACGGTAAATATTTTCATAGTCATGTTGTTCAACATCTCCCAATGAAAACGACAATAATTGCGATCAACAGAAGGTCAATTGGCATCAAACAGTACATCCTGCAGACCATCATTCAACACATAAATTTTTTACTTCTCAGAATCTCTCTCCACTTCAATTTAATGCTCCTAAATTGCACGTGTAACTGAGTTGCAACTTCCAACGCGCGTACATAAAATGGTGTCATCAGGTTGCAATTAAAATAAGTTGATCACTATCCCGTTTTCCCTCAGTGTCCTCACAAATCAAAAGATTTTTTTAGCGAACGCAAACGATCTTGGCAGCGTTGTCAGCCCTTCATCCAAAATCATTCCGTTTCTTATGGAAATGATTTCATTTCAGCCATTTTGAAAGATGCCCATAAACTGTCTTGGTCTGTAGCGAATTTTGATCTTGGTACATTACGTTGAATAATCATCAATATAAGAATAATTTATGATGCGAAGAGTATCGCTTGTTAGCTCGATGGTGAAAGATGAGTCATCACTTGCAATTGAACTTCAAATGAGGAGTCTTCATTCGGCGGCAAGGTCAACGTCATGTCAGTGTCCCCTGAG